TCTAGTCATTCTTGGGCGTTTACCATATATTTATGTTTATTATTTATAGCTTTATTATACTTCTTAATATTTATACTAATTATTACTTTTGCTCTTCTCCGTCAAATAAATTGCTATGGTAATACTATTTCTCTGTTAACTTCTGCTTGTGGTTTCTCGGAGTTGATTAGAGGGGGGGATTGTATATCTATTTCGTTTAACATTATTTTAAGATTGAGAGGCATTTCCTATAAATCCAGTTGAAAAACGTTTAAAATTAGTAATAAAGTCATGGGTGAAATTGATAATAAGTTTGAGTTTAATTTTCGGGGCCAGGAAGTAATATTTGCCATTGACCAGGTAGCCAGCAAAAGTGATAAATCAATACTAGGACGTTATGGCAATACTACTATTTTGACCGTTTTAATAGCCAAAGAATTAACCAAAAATATTAATTCTTTTTTTCCGTTAACTATTGCCGTAGAAGAAAAATTTTACGCGGTAGGTCGTATTCCGGCCGGGTTTAACAAACGTGAAGGAAAATCTAGTTACGATGCTGTTATTATTGCCCGCTTGATTGACCGTTCTTTACGAAGTTTTTTTCCCTTGGGAGCCCACCAAGAAGTGCAAATAATTAATCATATTCTTTCTGTTGACCCGGCTTGTGACCCAGCAATGCTGGCAGCTTGAAACTCAGCCTTGGTTTGTCTCCTTTCCCCTCTCTTGCCTTACTTTTCTACTCCACTAGCCACAGTGATTAGTAGCGAGTTTGCCGGCGAGTTAGTGGTTAGTGCTACCAAGGAAAAGATTGTTATGCTCGAAGTCGAAGCCCCCGAAACTACGGAAGAAGCTTTAATTTCGGCAGTTGCGGCCGCACACCAAGAAATTCGTTACTTAATCGGCTTTTTTGAATATATTGCTAATAGTTTGAGAGTTAAGAAAATTAAACCGGAAATTACGGAGCCAAAACAAGCAAGCACGGTAAAATGAGAAGAAAAAATTAATGCTTGCTTAATTAAAATTTTTCCCAACCCCAATTATTCGTGGTGAGAAAAAGAACGAGAATGAAAAAAAGCCCAGTCGCAACTAATTCGGGAATGGCAGCAGCAAAACCCTTCGCAGAAAGAAGAAGAGATAATTGAGGAGTTGCAAAAAATCACGGATACTAATTTAAAAAAATTAATGAGCGAGATGCAAGTTTCTCAGCAACGGCGCCTTGATGGCCGTAATTTTGATACTATTCGTCCGCTGAAAATTCATCTGGATTACTTATCTGCGGTGCACGGCAGTGCTTTGTTTGCTCGCGGCAACACCGAAGTGCTGGCAGTAACCACCGTCGGGAAAACGAGTGAAAAACAAGTCGTAGATAACATCTTTTCTCGTTCCTACAAGCACTTTATTCATCATTATAATTTTCCTAATTTCGCGGTGAATGAGTTGGCAGGTTATCGTAATGTTTCCCGTCGCGAAATCGGGCACGGAGAACTAGTTGAAAAAACTTTTACTTACTTGGTTCCTCCGCTAACTTCTTTTCCTTATACGGTGCGGGTAGTCTCCGAAGTTCTGGCTTCGGACGGTTCTTCTTCGCAAGCCGCGATTTGTGCTACTTCTTTGGCCCTAATGACTACCGGAGTCCCTTTAATTAGACCGGCTGCTGGAATAGCCCTGGGTCTTTTTGCTGGTCAAATTTATACTGATATCA